GTGCACTGTGCAGCTGATTCTCCAGGGTAACATTTGATGATGCCATGGCTGATTATGTTTGGACACACAGCGCCTTTGCAACCTAGTGACAGTGCTGACAGAAAAGGAAGAGACACAGAGAAAGGAAGGAAAGACAGAGCTGACAAAAAGCAAAAATCAACCGGTCTGACAAACAGGCCGCTAACTCTCACCCTCTCCTCCATAAACATCTGGGTTTTGGGATGTGCTCCAACTTTGTACTGTCTGCAAACCAGATGTGGTAGATAAAACTAATCACTATTGAATAATAACATCAAATTCATCCACAATGAAAGCCAGCTGGCACTAACCAAGTGTAAAAACTCTAATCCTGTTTGTTCATAAAAAAAGCAAAGAAAAAGTGAGCTGGCACAGTTGTTAATATGCAGAGTAGCTGTGTAGGCCATCATTATTAACCAAGCTGGGTCAATGCGAGAGTGAGACAATAGCAGAGAAAGGCTAAGTAACCCTAAACAGACAAAGTGTTGTAATTAGCAGGCAAACACTGACATGAAGCTATTGATTTAGAACATGAGAGTGAGCAGTGTGGGCCTTCAAGACCAGTCATCTGAAAGGGAACACTAATCCAGTGCACACTAATCTGATCTGCACTGTATATTGTAATTTTATTAGGATATCCAATGGAAATACTCATCCTCAGCACAGAAGATAAGTAATATAATCAAGATGAACTCTTACACTGGATTAAAGTGGCAAATCTCAAAGTGCTGAAACAATAGGGTCATGTATCATTTGTGTATTCTGTAGTGCAGCTTCTCTTCACAAGTCACATAAATAAATGCAACAGGAATTACACCTCTTTCTGCTACAGAATATTGTCTTTCAATGTCCATACCATGGCCAATAAAAACAAAAACAAACAAACAAAGAAACAAAAAAATCAAAGCTGAACACAATGATAGACATCACAATGACACCGGGTGTGGCTCCCAGTCTTGAGCGAGTAGACCTCTCTCTTTCCTTCCTTGCCCCACCTTCCTCTTCCCTCCCGTCACTGTACATCCTTGTATTCAGAGTCAAGACAGAGACAGAGAAACAATCACTCAGCCCCAACATGTCCACCCTCCAACAGACAACTGTACTGGGCTGACAGTTGAGAATATATGGATCCCTTCTAAAGACCCCTCCTATGTGCAGAGAAAGCCTCTCTCCCTGCATGCATACATGTGATTCAATAAAACATCCCAGAGCGTCTCACTCTTACATCATCAGCCCACTGCCATAAATAATATATGCATCTCAGTGCACACACACCCCAGTTTGAAAAGTTGTCTGTGTGATTTTTTTTTTTTTTTCATTGCTTGCATAAGAAAAGCAAAGTGTGTGATAACTACAACACAGACTGGTAATCACAAATAGAGCCAGTGGTGTGTCATAAAGATGAAGATAATCTATTATTGATGAGTAATGTGGAATCCTTCCGGTAAACCCTGCACTGCAAGCATATCTCTCATCCCTTCCCCTTCCTAGAATAGCTTAGATAGCGTGCCATTTGCAAAGACATGACCTCAGCCAAAGAAAAGACAACCCATCCCATAGCATGAAGGTGTCTGTGGTACAAAGAAGTATGTATAAAACTTCAGTGAACTAATGAGCGTAAAGTTGACTGCCCTTTGTTCAGAGGCAATGTAGGAGTTAAATACAAATCTATCAGCAACTACATCAAACTGAAACAGATTAATGTTCAATCAGTGTGCTGTGTCCTTTGACTTCCTATGTCCTTCCTTTCCTAACACACAAACTAGCATTTCCCCATACAGAGAACATAAATAATCAATTAACTGCAGCAGCATGAAACATTAGCTAGTATCTACCATCCTGAGCCACAACAACAGCTTACAAGTCACTGGTCTTCCTGTAATGAAGCTGTTTGGTCTCTATACTTCCAAGTATTTTAGGGGAAATTCGTACTGCAATAATCAACCTACTCCTCACACATGATTGTTTTAGAAAATGTGAGAACAACTATGATAAATATTATTAGCAAATAGATAAACAGCTAAAGGTTAAAGGGTGTAGTCCTTACAAACGCTGCCTACAGCTATAACGGGATATAAACTACGCGTTGTCCATTAGAGACGCTTGAGTCTTTCCACAGTAAATTTCAGCACCTGCATTGCGGACAGCACCCCAAACCCACGTCTCAAATTAAACTGCTGCTGGTCCCTGGCAGCAGCTGCCAGACACTCACTTACTTCACACACTGTGCCTCACCCAGCGAAATCATTCAGGACATGGTGACCTTCTTTATCAAACAAAACGTAAACGGCAGCAAACATGTTCATGGCGAGCGGGGCCTGTGGGCGACTTCAAAACATTTCACGTTATGTTGTTTTATGACCTGACGTAATGTGGATGCCATCGCTGCATTTCGGTCAACACAAAGGCTGTCCTTGCAGATAATGTTATGTCCAGGGAGGAGCTGTCCAGTTTCAGGAACCGCAAACAAGCTAGCCCCCGTGCTATTCTCTGTTGAACGGGGAAAACGTCACGCCAAACTCCCATCACCATTTTACACCCACGAAATAGAATGCAACACGTAAAAAGAAATGTGCTAAACGTAGAACGTGAACGATTTTTTTTTTTTGATATGGTGGAAGCTATCTGATAAATTCGGCATTCGCTTAATTCACCAACCAGTGAGTTTAACAATGAAAACCTAGGGTTAATCAACATCAATCAGCGTGTGTTAGTAGCTGGCACCTCATCTTTTCCTTCCCCACCATTCAACGATTTAACTGAACGCTAAGCTTTTTCTGACCAAGAAACAATGGAAATAGTTAACACGCAAACCTGCTGTAAGAGTTAAAATGTCAGTGAAGCGACTCTGCTAGGATGAATACCGAAATAAAATATGCAAGTAAAAAAAAAGCTGCATTGCGTTTGCAGCAACAAGCAAAGTGTCATCAAAATACCACAATTCTATAGTATCTTTAAATGAAACACTCTCCATACACGGAAAGTACGCATTAAGCCTTAATTATGCTAGCCTAGCTGACCAGCTAACGAGGCTATTATACACACTTAGCGGGGACTTACCTTATGGTTTAAAATAACCGACTATCGAAAATCTTATAAAAGGCTGTAGCTAAATTGTTGGACAGATTAGCCACATCGGCTAAGTGCGTTCCGCCTTGCAGGGCATGTCAGAGATGCTGTCAGGGGGTCGCTTGGTACGGGTGAGAGCAAAGGGTGGCTCTATCCGTTCCCTATCATCTCCCTGAGCTACTAGACAAAATAAAGCGATGCATTGTGGGAAAACATGGGAAATCCTATCTAGTCTAAAAACATCAGATTTTTTTTCTAGTTAATCATTCAAGTTCAGTATTAGCAGTTAGAATTACAACTCGAATTTTAAAAAGCACAACAAAAGGCGCAAAACAGCTTCAACTAACCTGACGTAAGGTGTTGTAGGAGATGCCAGGGTTGTGTTACGGTTTTCAGTGTCAAGCGTCATCACCATAGCAACAGAATATATCACCTGTTCAGTAGTGATGCATTCACGCCGTCTAGTACCCCGGAATATTGCGCTACTGCAATGAGTAAGATATCTGAGTTTCTTGACGTTTACTACAGTGCACATACAGGTGTCAGGTTTAATGTCCACTATGTGCCAAAATGACGAGGCAAAGTAAACTCAAATAAATAATCAAATGTTGTTGGGTAGAATACAGCTGGTGGACAGCAGAGGGGAGTGTTGTCCTTCACTGGAAGTTAGGGATACTCCTCCAGCACAAGATACAGTACGGTATGTACTAGTATTACTCCTTCACATGCTATGTTCACATTCAACAATTTTCTCTCTCTCTCTCTTTCTCTCTCTCTCTCTCTCTCTCTCTCTGTGTGTGTGTGTGTGAGATCACAACCCATTTGTTTTTATATTACATAGGTTGGATGCTGAGTGACATGGCAATAAAACCTATTCTGTTCCAATCTAAACTTTAATAGATTTTCTATACTCTTATTATTGTAGGTAGTATTGAAATGGTCTTTCATGTTTTTTTTAAATGAATTCATTTTATTGTTAATATTTAGTTATTATTTAGTTATAATAAACTGTACTATTTACTGCTTCCAGTGCAGTTTTCCAAGGGAACACTTACACTTGAAAATCACAAGTGATAGCACTCTTGACTCTTGCCCGGGGTATAAAAACATATGAAACAGTAGCCTTTTCATATTGACCAAAAATACCAACTTCAATTATTTTTGGCAAGAGATAATCCTCGGTGATATATAGTATCTACTATGTATACAATGTTAACCAAAAACAAGAGCATTTATTTAAATTCCCAACCTAAGAAAAAGGCTCAAATATAAAAAGAAAATATCTTGTGGAATATATGGAATTATTGTCACCATCCAGAAATGTTTTTCAGAAGCAGTTTTTAATCTCTTCCTGGCTTTGGTATGTTTGTGATAGGGATTAAATTCTTCTTGTTGCTTTATTTTTAGTGTTTCTGGCACACTTCCCAGCTGCCTGCAGGAAGAGGAGAAGGTAAGTTATCCTCACCTCAGCATAGGAGAGGTAGGAGAGGTGCAAAATAATTCCTCAGGCTTCCTACTTTGTGGTTAGTTTTACTTACATGCTGCTAGAGATGTCCATATATCATAACAGGTTGTGGCCAACCAAATAAAACAAGCAAGAATGACTCTGGACTCCTCCTGTGACTCTAACCAGCTTACAGCTATAGGTTCTTTTCTTTTCTTTTTGGCCTTTGCTATGGGGGATTTGGTGCAATAGGCAGAATCCAGCTGAGAAATGTCTTGTGCACAAACTGACCAAAGCCATATTTGCCATCATTATCCTGATATACAAACACAAGGGTACAGCTTTACTTTCTCACAGGTCTTCTCATCATGTTTTAGCCTGATGTTGAATCTATAACATACATTTGAATATTCTCCATGTCACATGGTAAATGAACCCAGAGGTCTTTCTGTTTTGATTTGCTTAGTACTTGTGTGGTATGGAAAGTATTCATCCTTTCAGATTCTTACACAGAATCTACAGTATGAATGCCTGTAGCATCTGGACTTTATTTGAGGCCATTCATAAACAAAGAGGCCAGAATATTTGAAAATAGCACTTAAAGCAAAGGTTATTTCAACAGCAATCAGTTTCTTTGACACTGTTTTGTACCTTCCAATAAATTCTTGAGAAATTTACTAGCTGACAAAACATAGGTGAACACAGAGAGGAAATTATAGCCAGCATGTTACATAGGCCCACATGGAAAGCCACTGCCAAAATGTCTTAGCCTTCATTCTAGTAATGAGTGTAGACTGCAAGAGGCCATACTTTTTCATGCAAGGTTTTTTTTTTTGTCTTTTACTTTTTTTTTACAACCCAGGGAGAGGAGTGCACTGGATGTCATTTAAAGTGACATTTTAATTACTAGTGGTTAATAGACCTCTAAAACCAGGCTCTGAAGTGGCTGTAACTCAAGGTGCCTCAGCCATAGTAGGGAAAATGTGTGCCATGCTATAATCCTTCAACACGTGCTGGTATAAGACACATGTGATAAGACACATAACTCAGCTGAAATGAGCTTAACAAACAGAAAACATGAGCTCACTGAAAATATCAAAGGAAATCAAACATAGAAATACGCTCTGAGCATCAAAAAGTCCTGTAAGAGTTTAGAGAATGAAAAGACTACTGGGGTACATTTCAAGTGTATATGTCAGGTTCATTTCCAAACCAAATACAGGTGGTGTTCATGAAGACACCATTTAATGTTACTCTATGTGTACCATGTATAATGAAAAGGATCAAGAAATGGTATATGCTTTATATCATTCATTTATTTGTAAGGGACCGTGTAAAATGTTAAATGTTTCATTGTATTAAAGTTACTTTTCATCTACAGTCACGTGGAAGGTCACAATTATACAGAGATGTACAGTAAAGGAAGAGCAGTAAATAAACAGCATCATACACGAAAGAGTTGCTTTCAACTGTTTCAAGATAACTGTAAGATAATCAAACAAAGGCCTGATTAATCAAGCCACAGTGTAATCCTTTTACAGCTGCTGCATCAGCTGTTTTTTGTGTGCGTTTACAACAGTGTCATCTGCATACATTTGCACCTGTGAAGCTGTTACTATACAGACTAAATAATAGAGGGCCTAACACCAGCCTTTGAAGTATACTTGTTGTGTATTATTACCGGAAAGTGCATAATTAATTTTATTACATTGCACCCAGTTGGAAAAGTATAAAGACATCTATGTTAGTGCTTTACATGAAAAATGGCATTTACGGAGTTTAGGAGTGAGAACACCGTGACTGGCTGTATCAAACTCTTTATGCAAATCTAAAAATACAGCACCAACTTCTCAGTTATGAAGCCTAGATTTTCTTTTGTCAGTTAGGATTATGGTAGCTGTTTTGGTGTTTGTTCATGTGCATATATACGTGGAAGTATACTGTAACCTAAAGTACAGGCTCCAAAGATCAATGTTCCAGGCGTGATGTGTGGCATGATCATATGCAAACCCTTTTGTTTTTGGTGGACTCACTACTCTGTGATTATCACAGTTTGGTCGACTACCAGGAGAGAAGCAGACATGACGTTTCTGGGTTCAGAACAGTCATAAATCCTTCATGCTCCTGTTTCAACCATCGACTGTGTACCACCATAATCTCTTCTCTGAGATATAGCTCAAAGATTCTCTGTTTTTCCACACACATAAAAGAGTGGTTATAGGTTTTCCCTGTTTTCAATTGAAATATTTCATCTGGGTGTCTAGTCACAATAACTATGAGAATTCTGCTGACTTCCTCATTTCATGTGCCCATGTTTATCCATCCTCAACCCACTGGTGGAGTATGCAAAGCAGGAATCTCTAAACACTAGATACTGAATAGCAGAGCACGTGTAGACTACCTAATCTTTATGTTAATGTACTTCATGAAAAGGTTACAGAGGCTCTTTGGTACTTGCTAGTGCTTAAAATGTCCTTGTGGATGTTTGCATCCTTGAAGAGATACATAAGATTTGTGTGATATGGATATCTGTAACCTCTGTGAGGCACAGGATGTCTTGCTGTCCTGCTGTGAGTGTGCTGCAAATCCTCACTGGGACCCAGCTGTGTTGGAAACCTGGCTCTGTCCAAAGATAATAAAATGTGCCTACAAGTATTTCTAAAGGTCACAAATTAACATGTTAAAAATTAAAAGTAAAAATGAGAAATTGTCTTCTATGTGTCAGGCAACCAGCAGCGACTGGTCCCAGCCAGAAAAAAAAAACATAATCTGGCACATGTATGCTTCCCTGAAGTCACTTTTAAATTTGCCTAGTTTATGTAAGGCTACAACTAGCACTGGGTTAGCTTAAATTGTGGAAATGGAGAGAAATAGTTAGTCTGCCTCTCTCCAAGGCAATAAAGCCCACATACTAGCACCTCTAAAGTTCAGGAACTAACATGTCTCATTTGTTTAATAACATTTTATCAGTGTTTATGCCAGTGTTTGTCAGGTCCGCTCGGCGCGACCTGCCTCTCTTTCTTTTTCCCTCTCCTGTTCTCCCTTTTTGCGGGATCAACGCCTCAGCTGTGTCGCATCGGGTAATTAGTGACTCGTGGGTCGGTTCGCACACCTGAGGCGTATTCCGGTGATTTGTTGGCTTCCTTATTTATACCTCTGGCAGACGCCCCGTCGTGGCCAGAGCATTGCGACATGTAATGGATAATACTTACCCTATGTAAGTTATGTTTGTTGTGTTAGACCCGCATATTTTTAGACATGTGTAAGATGCTACGCTGACAGTCCTAGTTCCTGTCGTTAGTTTGTGTGTTTACCGTCCTGGTCTCCTTAGTCATCACTGCCCTTCCCTTATTGTATGTATTATGGACCCTGTTATGTTGTTTTTATTCCATTAAACCCCCTTTTTTTGTACTAGCACCTGGGTCAGCCATCTTGAGTCCAACCCCAGTTCTCCCTCACCCTTTTGGTGAGGGGGACTAAACCTTAACAGTGTTGTTACTTTTGGACTGAGCCAGTCTTGCTGTTTCCCTGTTTTCCCAGTCTTAATGCTAAACTGAGCTAACCTGCTACTGGTGGTGGTTTCATATTAAATAGACAGATATGAGAGACTTATTAATTTTCTGATCTATCTCTCAGCAAAAGCATATTTCCCAAAGTGAACGCAATGGGCCTCCTTGAAGTACTTAGTTGCCACAATTTCCAAGTCTGTAGCAAAATAAGAAGGTATCGTTCAATTATTATTTTTGTCTAGGATAAATTATTAAAGTGACACGGAGCTTACTTCAGTTTGTGGGTTGCTGTATGTGCTTCTTACCCTTACCCAGACTTCAGCTCCTCTTTTCAGAGCGTAGCGGTATAAAGCATGGGGTACATGCTGAAGGGTCGAATGCTGTAAATAAACACCGGCTGCTGTTTATACATCTCACATATGGATTTTTAGTGCCTGAGTGATCTCCAAAGGCCTTGGGCCTGCTCCAGTCAAGCTGGGCTACTCATCCTTTAGCACAGGACTCCAAATAAAACAGAGCTGCCTAGCCAAGCAAAACCCACTACAGAGCTATTTTCCACCATCTGTGTGGCCAGGCAAAATACTAGGAAACCATTTCAACCCTGAGGCCTTCCCACAGTGAGAAACACTAGATCAGTCAGATTGACGAAAAGACCCAATCAACACATTGTCAAGGCCCTTCCTAAAGTTGTCCACTTCCTCTGTGGGGTAAGTGAACAGCTTCACCTACCCTTGCGCCTCTCCCAGCAGGAGAGCTGCCTCACAAGCTCTGTACACTCCACCCTGTCTGAGCCACCTTCCTGAAATGAAAACATTTGTGTCTTTTATTTCTTCACAAGCTTTGAGTCAGACACATTTCACCCATGACAAAGCCTAGGTTTCCCACACTGGTTCAAGACCTTTCAAGTCACTTGCCAGATATTCTTCTTCACACTGGTGTTGTGTTTACCTGTTGCCAAATCTCTGTCTTCCAGCTGCTCTCTCTAATCCTGTTGTCTTTTTATATGTTTGCAACAGGGATGCTTCTCATCAGCATGACTGCAGTGGCAGGGTCCTCGGGGCCTCATGGAAGGACTCAACTTGACTATCTTCTTTCAAAGAAGACCAAAAAACATCCTAGCCCACCTGCTTGAATGGAAACCCAACACCAGCTGGCCTCTGGGAGACCAATCAGTACAGGAAAGCCATGGATTACAGCCTCCACTGCCACACCATCTTCAGTAATGCTGCTGTCGCCCTGGGCTGCCAGCTCTCCATGTCTACTGTGAGGAAAAAGGCTCCCCTGCAACAAAAGTAAGAACATTTCAATGTGTCAAGTTTGCAGCACGGTGGCGCAGTGGTTAGCGCCGTTGCCTCACAGCGAGAAGGTTCTGGGTTCGGGCCCCACCTGGGACCTTTCTGTGTGGAATTTGCATGTTCTCCCCGTGCTTGCGTGGGCTCTCTCCGGGTACTCCGGCTTCCTCCCACAGTCCAAAGACATGCAGCTTAGGTTGATTGGTGTCTCTAAATTGCCCATAGGAGTGCGTGTGTGTGGTTGTTCGTCTATGTGTTAGTCCTGCGATGGATTGACGACCTGTCCAGGGTGTACCCGCCTTCGCCCGTCAGTTTCTCTGGCAGATCAGGAAACAGCTTGTTGGTACACTGCTACCTATTGGGGCGGCTGTGGTTCATGGGGGTGGCTGTGGCTCAGGAGGTAGAGCGGGTAGTTTCCTAACCGGAGGATTAGCAGTTCGACTCCCAGTCAACATGTCGAGGTGTCCTTGAGCAAGACACTGAACCCCCAGTTGCTCCCGGTGATGTCACCGGTGTGTGAATGCGTGAGTGCTTGGGAGTGTGAATGGCCGAATAATGTGAAAGCGCTTTGAGTGTGCTGTAAAAAAAAAAAAAAAAAAGCATAGAAAGGCGCTATACAAGTATAAGACCATTTACCATTCAAGTGGAAATTCAAAATTGTGAAGAGGAAAACCAATATTCAGTGAATTTTGATTTCCATACTGTATAATGTTATTGTTCCACCCATAGAAATTTCCCTTTCAATGAGCTCCAGAATTTGTTCTTGTCTAACTTTGATTGTTGGGCTTCTATTGTATAATTTTCAACAAGTGCTTTAGCGAGCCACTCAGACTTTGATGAGTCCTCTGGTGTATATTCTGCTATTTAGTGGGAAATATGATTACATTTCATTTCAGGAAATTCTTTGCATGCTGTACTTTCTTTCAGGTGGCAGCACTACTCTGAGCTGAAACTTTATAACCGGCTTAGTCCAATAGCCCCAGAGTGTGCAATGAATAGTCTATATCTGCCACTCTGACACAAACTTATTACCATGAATGATACCATGACAGAAAATAAAACAATAATATCACCAAAATATTTTTCTTTGTATAATACATAACTTTTTTATTCACATTGTTTTGTGAATTTTCAATAATTTTAAATTCATTGACATATGCAGTAGTTCCACATATAGACTGTAATTTCACAATAACATTTTCTTCTCCTGGACAAATGTCACTTATAAACACACCTTGACATAAATCACTGCTCTGACTGTTTTGTGTTGAATCATGTGCTTGGCAGCACCCACAGCCTCCTGGCTTTGATAACATCAGCTGACAGTGTTCTGACTTGCATCTTTACTGTAAATACCCTGCAGAGAGGTAATAAATGGACCACAGGAGTCTACATGGGTGACTCTGGCACAGTGTCATATTGATAAGAATGAGGTCAAAAAGGTCGGGCTGAGGCACAAGGACAGCAAGACGTACCATATGGCGTGAAGCAGCAGCATGTGACAAACTGTGCACTATCACTTCACAAAGATCTGAAAGTCATCTCTGCCTTTTGAGTTTACATTTGTGGCATGTGATGTAGGAAATGATACTGATGAGGGTGACAATGAAATAAATTACACTAGCTTGATGGAGAGAAAAACTGAAACTGGAGGTTGTATAAACTAAGTTGCTGTCTATGCTGTCAACTCACTGCTGAGAAAGCAGCTGAGGAGCTGTCATGGTGAAGTGAATTGGACAGAAGAAACCACATGGTACCATCACAGCTTCTGCCCCTGAAATAGTTATTGCTTAGTAAAAAGACAAGCTAATAGTTAATTGAAAACTAACTTTCTTCTGTTATAGACTGGCAACCTGTACCCCACCTCTCACCCAATGTCAGCTGGGATTGGCTCTAGTCCTCTGTGACCCTATAGATGGATGGACTTCCTGGAGCCTCTGCTGGTTGCCTGACATATAGATGTAACCCTCCATAAAATGATGAGCTGTCATCTTTACTCTTAAACGCAGTATACTGTGTTATTATATAAGCTTTTGAAGTGCTAGTACAGTTGGTGCATTTTGTTATGAAGCCAGGTTAGCCACTGTTTTCAGGTTTTATGCTAAGCTAAGTGACTGCTGGCTGTAGCTTGACATTTAGCATGAGAGTGGCATCAGTTTCTCAATGAAGAAAGCACATAATATTTCTCAAAATGTCAAATTATTCCTTCAAGGGTTTTTGCCAAATTTCTTTTAAAGTAAATGTAGCAAATACTGGCACAGAATAATGGCATTCAGCAGTTTTCTTCTCCAAAATATAATTTTCAGCCTTCAAACATCTGCAAGTTGCAGGTGAGACAGACTGAGATGATTCTCAGCATTGAGGGCAAACGACAGGCATGTTTGTGCACATTCCCGAAAGCCACAGCTCCTGTTGGCAGGTTGCTGTGCCTATTATTGCTCACCCAGGTCCATGTGTTTATGTCTTGGGTTTCTCTCTTTCTTCCCCCCCTCCCTCCATCCTATATATCCTAATGCCACTGAAGAATGATCTTATGTTATAAAAGTACTGGAGCAGTTATATCCAGTGAGCAGGACCATTGTTTTCTCATTCAGCTGGTACTTTATGTTGAGGATCTATTCAGCTATGAGGATTCACTAGCTTTGTCTTGCTGTAACACACACATTTCACAGAATGAATGTAAGACTGTAGAGTAACATGAATGTAAAACAGTGACATGGTTTATTTCTATAGCTCACTGAGATTTTTTTTTCTGGATGAACTTGAATGCCTCCTTTGTTGAGCTGAAGAATGGTGGCTAAAAGTGAAGCTGTGGTGTAATGGAGGGTTTCTGTGGCCTTGTTAGTTCTTGTGGTGGTGGGCTCAGAGTGGGTCTGCAGCCCACAGAATTCAGCCCACATATATTCCAGAATCTTTCATACAGAAACCACATAGTTTGGACACAATGTGACAACAAAGGGGGTAAACTATACAACATAGGAACAAAGCCACACAGAGCTCTGGTTTGCCACTCAAGTTACAGTAATTAAATTCAATTCGATTCAGTTTTATTTAGCGCCAATTCACAAGAAAAAAAAAATCATCTCAAGGCACTTTACATAGAAATGTAGATGAAGACTTACTGTAGCTCTGCAGCTACAACCAATAGTGTGAAATCACCATTAAAAGAATAGTTTGACGTTTAGAAATACATTAGTTTAATTTCTTTCTGAGAGTTAGATGAGAACATTAATACCACATGTCTGTGCATTAAGTAGTGCTAGGAGGTGATTTTTTTTTTTTTTAGCACAAAAACTACTGCTGTTCTTCAAGAACTAGCTACAACATGTAACTGTTTATACTTGTGGCTGAAAAAGAGATGGTACCTTGTGAATTAGTTAGCTTTAGAGTTGTTGTATGTGCATTACTCCAGGAGAGCCAGCTGTCAGACTGTTTCCTCCTGTTTCCAGTCTTTGGGCTAAGCTAATTTCTACTGTCTGTAGCTTCATACTTAATGAACAGAGGTACAAGTAGCATCAGTCTTCTCTTCTAATTCTAAAAAATCAAGTGAATAAGTATAATTTACAAAATGCAAAACTTTTCCTGAAGTGTATTCACCAGTTATGATCGTTATTTTAACTGATCTAAAAATGCAGGCTACCAAAATCTAGCTGTGCACACTAAACTCAATGACTTTTGGCCAGTTGTCCTCCACATAAAGCTGCCACACCAGATTTCTTCTCTTCAGACAAGTTTCTCTCTTTCCCACCATAAGTCTGTCTCCTCTGAACTAGCAGGGGCAGAGAGGACACATCTGCTGCAGCCGTGCTGATGATTACTGGAGATAAACTCACGTACTGTTGCACTAAAATTGAAGGGCTGTGGCAGCCAACAGGAGATGTACAGGCCTATGTGTGTACATGCAACACACTTATTTAAACATATTTGATAAACAAGGCGTAAATATTTTAAGAGGACATCATATTGAATCTGTGGAAGTATATAAACTGTGAATTTGAGGGTGATGTGATTTGTGGGCACAGCTGGCGCTCTCAGTATATTTAGATCTATTTATTTGGTGATGTTGTCATTCCATTAAACAGCTCTGCATTTGAAGGGTGCCAGCTCTGGACTGTTTCAGGTATAGCCAAAATCCTGGAGTGGGATATTTACTTTTCACTCTAAAACTGGGGGAAGGGGGAAACAAAATCCAACACCAACCTGGGTTTTCAGCAGATGTTTAGTCGAGTGAACAAGACCCAGTTGAGGGTTTTTCTACTTATTTGGAGGATTAAAGGTAACATTATAGAACTATCCTTTAAAAGCTGTGATTCAGAATTAACAAGTGACACAAAATAGACTTTGTAAATAAAGTCACGCTCACCATGTGCTGTAGTTGAGGGAAATATTGAAATGCTCTGACTTTCATTTTCCATTTGACTCCTAATTAGCTTGCAAAGTAGGTTGGTGATGTTGCATTAATTGGGGGGACTCTGTCTATCATGGCCATGGCTATGTTGATGCAACATAATGATCTGCATTTTTCAAATAACAGTTCATTAATCAACCATGTTTAAACTCTTAACTTTACAAGTTTCCCTCAGTGAGAGGAGACTTTCCCATACACCCAAGTAAGGGAAAAGAAATCCAGCAGAAATAAAGAAATGTTTTATGGGAACAAGCAGGTCCATAACTGGCAAGCTGTCAGAGACATTTTCCACTCTACACATGAGCCATACAGAGCAGTGCAAATGAGCAACAAAACAGCTGTTAAAGTTTACAGGCCTGCAGCAATTTATTCATGCATTCACATTAAAACAGCAAAGCCTGGAAGAGGTTATTAACTTGATTCTGTACATGGCGCCCCCGCTGTGAAAATAAGACAACATGGGCAGTCACTTTTTCATATGTGAGCTCACAAACATTCAGGCAATGTGAGTAAACTTGTAAAACCATTTACTGTAAAGCTGTATCATTCCCAACAAACTGCCATTCAAGACACTGGCATAAAATCTTAGACTTACTGAGGAATGACTCAGGTTTCTTCTCATGAAATTCAGGGTACAGATGAAGACCTTTGCCCCTGTGCTTATTTGCCAAAGAAAACTAAGCTCTAATTTGAACCCAAACTTATCTTGCTGAATGGAATGAAGAAGTCAGGAACCTCTGGGCAGAGCCTCTATATGAAGTGACTATATGATTTCTTGTTTGAAAGTCATACAGCTATATTAAAAAACACAAAATAATCTCAAAGAGATGCAAAATGACCACAACAAGACTGACTATAAACAAGGCAACCAACACAACTTGTTTCTCTTTATGATCCTATATAGTGAAGCCTTTTTCCTGTCTGAGCCCAGGCCCGTTTTCTATACTTGGCTGTGTGTGTTGTATACAGGCTTTCTATCCCCATTCTCCTAGGTCGATGTTGAGAGATGTTGTTAACTGACCCCAGATATGAACATGACCTTCACTCTGGCTTGATCATCTCCAGACTCACAGACCTGACAGCGACACCCACTGACCCTCGTCATTTGTTATGCTATACGTCTTTCTGCAGGTCTGGAATTCATCAGGCATTGTTCTCAAAAGTCCATTGCCTATTTTTCTTCTAAATTTCCTTCATAGTACCACCTGCAGGTCAGAGTTTTATTATTCCAGTGAAATATCATTTTTTTCTACAAAATAGATGCACAGAATTTGTTAGACATTCATAGTTCCCACATGGTGTATCCTAATGCCTCTAGCGATCTTCTATCCTTTCCTCTTGTGCCATCATTAAGCTTGAAATTTTGAGTTCAAACATCTTGAATATTGGATGAATAACTGGTCTATCCATGTCCTCCTCAGGATGAACTGCCTCTAGCACCATAACCTGCTCCAAACTTCACTTTGTCCAGTACATTAGACAATACGTTGGTTTGCCACTTAGGCCACTTATTCCTGAATAGGGTCACGGCGGCTGGAGCCAATCCCAGCTGATACTAAGTGAGAGGCTGGTTACGCCCTGGACAAGTCACCAGTTTATTACAGGGCTGAACACTTAGACACAGACATCCACACACACACCCACACTCACTCCTAGGGACAATTTAGAGTCGCCAGTCAACCTAAGCTGCATGTCTTTGGACTGTGATAGGAAGCTGGAGTACCTGGAGAGAACCCACACAGACACAGGAAGAACATGGGCATGGTATGCATACAGCCTCACAGAGTTGCTATCATGGCTGCAGACTATTACTCTATTTGAGAAGAAGATTTTTAAGACGTGAACTTAATTTCAAAGCAGCCTATTCCTTCTTGCTGTTTAATGAACTTGTATTTCACTGTCATAAAGAACAGTCTTCTGTTCTTTCTCCGCTAGAATAAAACATAAGAGAATTAGCAGTACACTTTTTCACTTTTTAGCTATAACAGAAGCCTCCTGCTCTAAGAAATGTTCTACAACTTTGAATGCTGAGAGCTTTCGCATAAAATAACACCCTGCTCCTTCCAGGCATGCCTTAACATATACTCACAAAACCACATAAGCTTTGGCATGAGTGTCTGCAGTCATCAATAAGAGTCATTAAATTGCTGAGTCACAGAAAGTTATAGGCTTTGAGTGATCAATAAGAGCTGAGAACATAAACTGTTGGGTACAAATTAGGTTGTAAAATATATTACCTCTGTGGTCTTGGCTTTGTAGGTGAATGTCTTTGTTCTGAAACAGGACACCAGCAGCAGTAGTCACCACAGAGTGCACCAAGTTTAATGCCAACAAATTACAAAAAAATACATGTACTCATATAGCAAACATTCATATCCTGTCATGTATTTCATAAGAACATCAGTCAGTGCAACTGCAGCTGTGACCAAGGCACAAAAGACAGAAAACCCTGGTTACACAGAACTTTTTGTGTGTAAAAAAAGGGGTCTACTGTTTGAGTTTAAATTTGAGTTTGGAAGGTGACGCTATTCTGGCTTTCCTCTGCCTTCCCTCCCTCTGTACGTTTGTACAGGTGCACGTGTGATGCATGTGTTACAGCCACTGTTTGACTGAGCACTGACCCACTTTGACCATTTGGCACACTGGCACTGCTGCCTCTGTCCAGAGCAGAGAGACCGTGAGGCAGAGCAACAAACAGCCTTCTGTCACATAGTCAGGTTAGACAGCTCTCAGATCTGCTTGTGTTCTTTGATTAACTGTAATTCACAATTATTAAATCATTGTTCCACATGTGTATATATACTGTATTTGCAGTTTGTATACATGGAGCATATGTATATTTACACACAAACTTCAGAAAGGCCAGTATTGTAGTACTACTGTTATTCTAATTAACACATTGGCTGTGTCCCGACCTACCACCATCCTCTAACCAACCATGTAACAGCAATAAGTTTGTCAAAATACAGCCAGAGTAGTGGGTGGCAGAAACAATTGGCATGGCAACCATCAGGTTGAGGGGGCCTTGTGGGTAAAAGAGAGTGGGGTGCATATGCCTGGCAGACATGTAATTAAACCTGAACCATGGGGTTAGCTTACATTAACTTCTGTGCCAGTTCAAACATATTAAAAGCTGAAGTGTCAACAGGCGAGTGTGTCCCCATGTGGTCCTCATGCTGACTTAGCCGCACTCCCTTGTCATGTTTCTTTCCTGTTCCATGTTTGACTGTTGCCGTTGGACTTAACCAACATCAAGGAGGCTGGAGACACCGTCACATTTTAAAAGTTTGAAACAATAACATTATCATTCACACATTATAATGTCAAAACAGCAAGTAGGGAAGAGATTTGTATTTTGTTTGGCACAATTTGTGTATTGCAGGGCGCTGGAGACAGAAGACCTCCTGCTATCAACGATACACAAAATCTTGGGTCTCCTGGATCAGTGTCTGTTTCAGATCAGTCTGGGAGAGAGAAGAGATGAGACTTACTTTGAATCCTAGAGGGCAGACAAATATGAAGGAGTAATCCATGTTTTTGCAGCTTTAACATTAGGTTAGATATGAAATACTAAATTTCTGACACCAGGGTATCATGGCCACTAGGTGTCTCCTGTCACTGCTGACAAACACTTAGTTCCAGCCTTTAGCTCTGCAATTATACAGAAATGCATGGTGAGCTCCACTATAGTGTGGTAAGTACTGCGGGTATATATATCAATTCATAAGTAAATAAAAGGCTGACCATAAGTGATAGACCTGAAACAAATAAAACAGGCAAGCAAATGTAGAAAAAAAGATCAATTGTAAAATTGTACACATAAA